TAATTCTGGCTTAAAATGAACTCTTAAAGATTTACACTCAGTAATTTCATTTTTCTTCTTATAGTTATTTGAAAATTACAACCCATGTAATTTAATAGGAACTAATTTTGCAAAACAAATACAGCATGAATTAAAATAAATTTCCAGACACTGTACATAAATTTCTCCTGATGCTCATATTAAGTCCATGTATATTTCTACTATGTTTCTTTGAGTTTAGGGTTTTGAAGGGAATTGAAAGGGCTGCCATTAAGGAAATAAGAGACATAGAAGCTGAAAATACTGGTTGGTGCATACCACACAATTTTTTAACTAACTGAGCCCGCACTGTTGTCTGTTTTGGTGTAGGTGGAACACAAGTGGCCCCCAAACAGGTGCTACTCTCTACTAAATGCCATTACAAACTCTGAAATTTATGATAAAGACTCAGGCAAAAGAGTCTTTGAAAGGAGGAAAGAGAAGTTGGAACAGTTTGAGACCCCAGGATCAAGGATCAACAAAGTGTCTGGGCATGTTAAGTTCCCTACCCAACAGAAGAAAGTGACCCCAGCCTGCAGTTTCCCAGAACCCAATTTGAAAAGGAAAGGTGCCTCAGTGAGCTAAGCTCATTTCTGGACAGGAGATCTAACAGGAGACGCCCTCACAATAAGAAGCCAGAGGAAGAGCTTCTGCTCTGCCACCAGAGACACCAGAGTAGGTTGGCTGAGGGGACGAACAAATGAATCCCAGGACTACAAGTTCCCCATCCAAGAAGCCTCTGTGTCCCTGAGGATATGAGACTCACACCCCCATCCAGACACACCAGATAGAACGGATTTTAAAATGTTCTATGTGCATCATACTGTAGTGAACATTAACAAACTCCAGCTCACTGCATTAATATGGGCGAAATGCATGAATATCACACAGGGTAAAGGAGACAGACATGAAAGTGTATATTGGTCACTTATGAACATACAAAAACTGGTGAAGTTTGTAATATTACATTCAGGACAGAGGTTTGAGAAGGAGGAAGAAATGATGAGATCATTCACATAAGCAGGGGTTATGTGAAACCCCCTATTTTGTTATCTGATGTGTATTATAGGTGTCCATTCACTCCGTGATGAATTTGTACATTCACAATGTGTTTATATATAGTACAGTTAAATTGCAAAATTTAATTCAGAATAAAAGCATTTATAGATGCATCATTTTCCATGAGCAACAAGAATTGGTAATACTTAAATACACCTTAGCTTGTGAATAGAAATAAACGCTGCCTGGTGAAGTCACCCAACAGAATAATATATAGACTTGTAAATAATTAATCTAAAATATGTACAAGAATATGATGAATTCTACAAATGTAAAATTGGCTGAAATAAGCTTCTACTAAAATGTTTGAAACATTTAACATCTTACCCTTTCTTCTTCATCATCTATATAAAGCAGAGTGGAGTTCTTAGAAGCACAGGCCATCACACTCTCATTCCAAGTTTTAAATTCCTTACCAGTGTAATAACAATTGCTGGAATATGTAAACCACTCCTCTGGACAATGACCACAGTGATATTCTAAGGAAAAATAATGAATTACTATCTCCACAATAAGATTTTAAAAAATGATTATTACTTTACACATTTTCAAAGGTACAAAAAAATGTGTGCACCCGTTTTTACATCCTCATAGGCTGGTAAATATATTAAAGAAAAGCACTCATACATATGCACAGAAAAGTATCAGCCTCTCATCCCCTAATTATATTGTAACATAAAGAAACACATCAAATAAAAATCCACCCTTAAAATATCTGAAAAATCACTGACAAAACTATTTTTCTTGGAAAATCAAAATTATTTAACTGTAACCAAATGGTAGGTAGCACTAGCAATTTGAATCAAATAGCAAAAAGAGGGTGTAGTGATTTCAAATGAGTATTTATACTTATTATTGCAGATAAGAGAATGCCCCCCTATTAACTTTTCTCTGGATATTTATTATTCAATATTTCATTACCCTTAAATATATCTATGATCATTTTTGCACAGCCAAAGATCAAAACGAAATGTAAAATGACTAATACCGGTACCTTTCTGAGTTCCTCTGGTCTGTGAAGAATTGCTCTGCATCTGTGCTATTATTGTAGGTAGAAAAATTAGAGTAATACTTATTAAAAATTAGTGCCTAAATAACTCACAATAATTTTAGTCTTGGAAATTTGTCATCTCACTTAGAATAATCTGTGATAAAACTGATTTTAGTCAGAAAAAATAAATAAAGTTAAAGAAGATTTGAGGGCAAAAAATCTTTTCAGAGCCTACAAAACCAAATTACCACTTCTGTGTACTTCATATATTGTAATACTGGAATTATTTGCTTTTACCACTTTCAAAAATTAATTTCTGTTTCTCAGTAAGCTTTTCAGACTCCTAAAATATGTTTTTTATGAAATTTTAATATATTATGATAAAAGCAAAAACTTTCTACAGTTCTTTTTTATTTATACTTTTGAAAAATTCTAATAATCTTTCCTTATTTAGTCTAAAACATACTTTAAAATGAGAATTGTATGGCTTGATCTTATGAAGTGTTTAGAGGTACTTTCAAGAATTCTTGCAAAATAAAACGTACTTACAGGCAATGACAAGTATGGTTACCACAGTAAACATTAAGACAAGAGAGATGATTCCCAGGATCCCAGCAATGAGCTGCTCTGGAGGAAATGGTAAACCTGCAGGGAGAGAAATGGAAACACTGAGAAACAAGAGATGGAGACAGTTTGTTAGAATACATACAGGAGACCCAGGAGACCCCAGATACACAGAGAATCACCAAACCCACACCTACCACAGGGATCCTTCTCTCAGAATATCTCACTGCATTTTCAGGAAATGTCATGCCCCATAAGTTGTTGGACAAAGACTACAGATTTCAACAACCTGTAAGTAAAATTTGTCTGTCTATTTCATATTAAAATAGTATATGTCAACTTAAAATTCTGATCTTTATGAATAAAACTATGTGAGCACGCCCTGCTCTTTCCCCACACCCCTGTACCACAATTGCCCATCCTAGGACAGTTTTATTGAGGAGCTATTTAGAGTTTTACCTTTGCAGTGGTAAGCTTTGCCCTCCCCTTGAAAATCCTGAGCTGCTCTTTGAAGATGTAATTCCGCATAGGTTATTTCTTGTTCACATTCTGAAATGGAGCTTTTAGTGCTCTTAGGTTTTCTTTGCTGCTTCCTTGGGTTTTGGGGAAGATTCAGTTCAGAATAG